GCCAGACAGACAGAGAGAGACATAGAGACAGAAAGCGAGAAATCATCCCCCAGGGGGGATGGTCACGCCGCAATCCCTTCTCCTCTTCTCCTCTTGGGATCTTGGCCATGCCCGCACATGCGCCCGGCGTGATTGAAGCCGCCTGGTCCGGGACTCGGAGGGTGTCAAGGACGTGTGCCTCCAGCGACGCGATCGGCTTGCCCCAGTGTTGAGGTTTCCACATGTGGCCCACATCAACATTTCATTTCTTTTGTTCTTAATGTTTAAAAAAACAATGGCCAGGGGCCAGCAGGTAGAGTGGTGGTGAAGGTGCTAGAATCCCACATGGCCGATCTGGGTTCTAGTCCTGGACCTGGCGGCTTGAAATCACGTTGGGCGTGTGTGTGTATGTGCCTAAAATCCTGAGAGGAGAATGGAGGAGAAGGAATTGTCGTGTGGCCACCCCCTTCTCCTTTCCCCTTTCCCTTTCCCTCCCCAGTGAGTGCATGCAGCCTGAGGCAAAAATGTTAAAAAAAAAAAAAAAACCCAAAACTGCCAGAGGGCACATGTGCTGGAGAAAGAGAGAGAAGGTGAGAAATCACACCCACGAGAAAGGCCACGTCGCAGTCCTTTCTCTTCTGTTTCTTCGCTCAGGATCCTGGGCACACATGCATACATGCCTGGTGTGTTTTCAAGCCACCAGATCCAGGACTGCAACTGCACACTCAGCCACGTGAAATTCGCTCGCCCTAACACCACGCCACCAACAGGCCCTATTTCTTTCTTTCTTTCTTTCTTTTTTTTTCCAATTTATTTATTTGCATTCATTCACTGTCCATCATTACAGCATATGAGATTTTCCATCCAGAGTATACTGTATTTTGTCTCAATCAAGCACATCAACAGACATGTTATTGTCAGCAAGTGATCTTCCATTTCTTGTTTTCTGTATGTTTTGCTTTTTCCCCCCATCCTTGGTTCCCTATCTCTTACCCTCGCCACCTCCTGTTCTCCTCCCACACTCTCTCTGGTATCTATGTTTGCTTTCTATACCATTTTCCCCCCACACTTTATTGAATCACCAAAGACCCTAATCAATCCGAATACCCTCCTAGCAAACACATGTGACACACACATTTCCATGAGCACAAGTCTAACTTTACACATCCTATAAAGTAGCACCTAGCTGGGGCTACATATCCTACTGCAGTCATTGAATAGATATATTTTGTTTTCCTGAAACTTTTTTTTATAACTCAATTTACATTCCTTCCCTAGGCATCATCACAGCACACAAAATGCGATCTCCCATCCAGTACACACTGCATAGTGACTCAATCATGCACATTACAAAAAAAATAATTTCCAATTCTAGTTGCTAGAATTAATTCCACCCCTCTTTCTGACCCTCTGTCCCTTCCCACCCTCCTCTCACACCACCTCCGGTGTCCAAAATTGTCCTCCATTCCCTTCCCACCCACATTGCATTGATCACACAATTTCCTACATAACCTGACTACTTTCAA